AGCACTTTGGAAGGTCAAGGTGGGAGGACTGCTTGAGCCCAAGAATTCAAGACCAGCCTGGGCAACATGGCAAAAATATCAAAATTAGCTGGGTGTGGTGGCTCAGGCCTGTAATCCAAGCTACTCAGGAGGCTGAGGTGGGAGGATCACCTGAGCCTGAGGAGGTTAGTGAGCCATGATTGTGCCACTGCACTACAGTCTGGACGACAGATTGAGGCCCTCTCTTTCTCACTGGCTATGTGTGTGAGAAATATATATATACACACACACACACACACATATACATACATATATATATAAGAGAATAGAGAGAGAGAGATGTCAATATGCTAATTAGGCACAATGAAATTCATACCTATATTCTTTCGAGGCACTATTCCTTTGGGGTACAGCTAAACGTATATTATCTTTTAAGGCCTATTTAAAAACAAAGATAATACCCATTCCTTAAAAAAGAACATATTATTCGTTTATGTACTTATTGACTGTTTACCTATATGTGACATTGAATATTCAATATTTATATATTGAATATTTACACGTGTAAATATTCCAATATCAATATTCAATATTTGCATATATGTAAATAGTCAATAAGTACATAAACAGATAATATATTCTTAGGAAAATGAAAATTAAATTCACAATGATAAACTACTTTACATGCTATGAACACCAAATATTCACAAAGATATGAAACAAGTGAAATGTTAACACATTCAAGCAGAGTGTAATATCATTCAACCAACTTGGAAAATTATAAATTTGTTATAATGTCAAACGTATATTCAACATATAACCTGAAAATTCCAATCCTAAATATTTATACAAAAAGATCTGTAAAAGAACCTTCCTAACAGCTTTAGTCATAATAGCCAAAAACTGGAAAAACCCGTAATGACCAAAAGTGGAAAAAATCCATCAACAGGAGAATGGGTATACAAATTATGGTATATTTATTCAATGGAATGTTTTACAGCAATAAAAAAGAATTAAATTTTGATACATGCAATGTCATGCTTGAATATCACAAACAGATATTACATAAAATAAAGCAAAAGAAAGACCGCATATTTTATGACTCCACTATACAAGTTCAAGAACAGGCAAAAACAATTTGAAGCATGGGTCATAAGAATAAGCTTAACAGTGTTATTTATTTCAATACATAAATAACTCAAGATTTTCTATTTCTTAATATGACAGATTAGAATAATTAAAGAGTGTATGAAATAATACTTGCCTTTTGATCTGAAAGATTATATCCACAAGAAACCTTTTAGGTGCTGATTTGACACATAAAAGTGAGAAACAGCTGTACTTGAAGTAGTGAATTATGAAAAAAAATTGTATATAAAGGGTTAACATCCTGCGTAGGAAGCCAGACAGTTGAATTATAGTAATCAAAACCAAGACTAGATGAACTTTCACTGTGGATTGGATCACCTGAAGCATAGACAGTCGCCATGACTCATCAAGATCAAAATTTGCTTTTTCTCTCTCACACCTCTTAGTCTTAAACAGTATTATAGAACATAATAGCTCCTCAGTAAATGGATGATGAATGAACAAACACATGAGATAAATGGAATAGGGATAGGGAATAGTAAAAAGTGGGGTTCCACAGTGTGGCTCTGGGCAGCTTGAAAGAATGGCCACACCAAAGAGAAACCACTGACTTGAGAAGAGACACTGAAGGAGAGGTTGGCAAATTCTCATAGCATCAAGCAGTAAGCATTGAAATTAGAGATCTAGCCCTTGCCCTCAAAAGTCATCAATAGAATGTCCTCTCCCAGAGTTGTCAGGCTGAGAATATTTGGCAGGTTTTATATCTATGTCATCGGATGTTACAGCATCAGAGTCGCAGTCGACTGAGCTGGTGGATCCTCCTCAGAGCTCAATGTAAACAAAGTTTCTGATGTAGAGGGAATTGATATTGGGATAATGAAATGGACATAAATAATCAACCAATAAAAGGAAAGGACAGGAGGGCAGGCTCGAGTTCTAATTTAAGGATATGTCTTTTACATGTGTTCATTAATTTTGAAGCATCTTGCAGACTGACCATTCATCCATGTGGGCAGAGGAGAGATGTGGGGTCAACATTGTCCCATAAATAAAAATATCATTTTCTGAAAACTCTGCTGTATTAAATATCTACATATTAAAAAAATTTAAACCAACTAAATATTTTTAAGTGAAGCAACTCCATCTCTCTCAGTAGCCTCCATCTTATCATACTACTGTTTTGTTTCCTAAAGTAAATCTTCAGCTGTGAATTATCCTAGAACTCTAGAGTTTGTGTGGTATTTCATAATTTTGTCACAAGAAAATTAAAAAGGCATTAGCAGTATGCAAAAAAGTTGTATGTTTTCAATCCATGGAATAAAAATGAATCTAACCTCTTTCCCTACATTTTTGTTATTGCAATACCCCATGAATCAATAAGAGGGAAAGCAGACTGACTAACGAACAATAGTGTTCAAAACGGAGCCTACTCTTGCGGGCCCTATGGGGACAGTAAGTATTGCTGACCCAAAACACATTCTTCAGAAACCACGAGGGTGCTCACTGTACATTCCTTCATGAGTTCATTCAATATATATATAATTCATCTAGTTTTCCATTTCAATTTCGTTTACATGGTATTATATGGTGGTAGAACTTTTGGGGGAACTGTACAAAATAACATTTTTTTCCAGATTCCTCCACACAAGTCTTTTTTTTTTTTTCAGCTCAGAAATTCATATTTGGGAAAATTTCAATTTGGGTATAAGCTGACAAAGTAATGGTTTCATCCTTTGGAACTGGACCCATATTCTCTTTTACATCATGAGAACATTAATTTTGCTTTGTAAAAGAGTAAGCAAATTGAAGGGAGTTCTTATGGTCCCTCTGAAGTGATAGCTACTCCTCAATAGAGGTGTCACTTGTGTTTACTTTGAGAAAATGATCTACATATTCTGCGTTTTATTTTTTTCCTCTGAAAAGTAGTATCATTGGAATAGAATGGCATTTCTCAAAGTAGGTTCTGTGGATGCTAGCTAGTCCAGTGTGGTGGTGTAGAAAAACCTACTGCATTGTCACAATTTTTAAAAAGATGTTGCCATTTATAAGACCTTATTACAGAGGAAAAAAAAAAGGTAGTATTTTTCATCCCAAAGTTGGAGATTCTGTGCTCCAGTTCCTTAACATATCAGAATAAGGATTTCTTGCATATGTGAGTATAACCTTAAACCTTTGCATTGCAGTCAGCAGGGAGGTGGGAACTCAACTCTGAGCAGCAAAAGGGAAGATGGATTGTGTAATCAGAAGTCAGCAAATTACAAAAGACTATTTGGAAAGAGTTTTGCCAACATACATGTGAAACAGGTCCCAATATTTATACAGTAAAATATTAATCAGCTCATGATGTGTTTCTAGGGGAAAATAACTTCTTTGTTAGTTGAGATTTTAATGTTTTGAATATGTGACATGAAGTTCTGTTGATTTTGGAAACCACTTATCTCTTCAGTTATTATTTAAGCATGAAGGATCTAGGGTTAAAGAATTCTGGCAAACAATGGTTCCTACCCTTGAGAGATTCACAGTGCAGATTAGCACATTGGAGGTTCTCTGTAAACTGTTTAACTCCATGCTTCCCACACATGTTTCACCATGCAACCTATAACATATACTTGCATCCCAGGTCTCCTTAGAACAGTATTTGGGAAAAAACCTCTGATGATTTCTAAAATCTAATATATGTAGATTAGATATATCAAAGTCCATTCAGGTTTAGTCTCTTGCAAGAATACATCTAACATACATTTTTATATTATATATTATGTATACAATATTAGATATTAGATATTGAATATTAAATATCAGATATATATCAATATATAGTAGATATATTCTTGCAAGAGACTAAACCTGAACAGACTTTGATTTGTAGCCTTCCAAACTAGTGCAAATATATCTGAACAGTATTTCAGTCGTTTCTTATAGTGTTCATATTACTCTGTCAAACTTGTTTCAGTTGATCATCACAACTCCATGGTAGTATTTTATAACCGAGTTTCACAATTCCAACTTGACACCAGGAAACCAAAATACTCCAAAGACTTCTGCAAGTGATTTCAGTGAAAAATCATCTGACACCAGAAAAATAGTCATAACTGCTCAATTTGCAAGATCTTCTCTGGCCAGCACCACCTCTCTGCTTTCATTTCCCCAAGATTTTCATTCTTTGAAGGCTGAAATCCAAAATGCCCATGTTTCCTTCTCAGGTCTTATGCAATAACTACCATTCGGCTCCAAATGACTCTTGTTTGTCTCACTTTTTCAAGACATTAGAGAAATGTTGTATTATGGGAAGAAGACTGGTTAGAGTTAGACACTCCTGGGTTCCAATTCTGGCTCTGACAGTCATCAGTTTGAGGGCTTATGAAAGTTGCTTTCTGTAATCTTATTATTTTCCTTGAAAAGGGAAGGATGCGTCCAGGGATAATATTGCCTCCCAGGGATAATAGTGACTTGATATAGACACACTCAGTACAAATTATTTTCCCTTTACACCTCCCTTTCATTTTCTTTCCCATTATCAGAATTTTAAACAGTTAAACATTTACATTATTTAGGCATTTATTGATATAAAACTTGAATAAAACAAGTGATTAATAGCCTAAGAAAAAGAGCAATCACCTCAGTGCAACCATTACCCTCAGCCCTCTCTGCAGGGTGCAATCTTCACTCTAGGATGCAAAAGCAGTGTTTTCCAAGATTCTGCAGGGCTTTTGTGTCTACAAGGGGTAGAGCAATTTGCAGTGGATTCTCATTTCTGAGACAGAGAAGTCTTAAGACTTTACTTGAAAAGGAGTTGGTAAATGAAGAGAAGGCCACAAATCCACACCACTTCTTAGTGAAGCCCAGTAGCATTGCATGGTAGCATTTTGAAAAATAAAGGTACTCACTCATTCATTCATTCATTCATCTAAAAATATTTATTGATCACTTACCAGGAGTTGGGAAAATGAAAGAAATTGTGGTTTGTTCATCTTTGTCCTTCAGTTACTGCCAGCTTAGGAGGATGCCTTCCTGTGTTACAGGGGGACAACGGAGTGTACAGTGAAAGCTACTCCTGGTAGCAGCCAGAACAGCAGAGGAGCATGTGGACAGGAACGGATGTGAGAAAACCTACTTTCTTATTGAATAAACTAGAGGGTTAATTATTCTCCCATAAACAGGGGCTTATTAACCCAAATTGATTTGAAAACAGCGAGTCTGGGGCGATTAACGTTTAATGAGAGACTCCAGAAAGTATCAGTCATGAACTGTGCATTATTTAGCAATGTATGACCACATTTTTATATATTGGATATATACTGGAAAGGATATATAATCTTGGCTATATATTACACTTAAATTTAAAAAGTAAACAAGAAAATTATGTGGCATGGCACTGCATATTAAATGTCAGAGAAGCAGAACTAGATGTATTATTTATCTCAAACTTATTTGTCACCAAAGCCAATTTCTGAAACAAAAGATTCATGGTAGTTTCTTTTGAAGTTGCATAGAAATAACCTTTCCCAAAATTATGGGTGGCTTAGTGTGTAGGCAGTGCAGTCATCAGTGCTTTAGTTAATGTGTGGTTTGTTTTGCAAAGAGTTTTCAACATTTAAAAGGAATGTTCATGAATTTCTAAATGCTATGTTTGCTGTAGCAAGACACTCAGAGTAATCATTACCTCCAGCTGTGATTTCCATCTTCCCCACCACTGCCCTCCATGTGTACTTCTTTTAAAGTTGACAGACATTCTGTATTTTAACCTCCCTGACAATAATTATGTAGTTGGTGAGCAGCAACCATTCAACTTAGGTGCATTTACTTTCTACTTAGTCCCAATTATATGATCATGAAGCATTTCAAGAGGTAATAATACAAAGTAAAGCATTATGACAATATAAAACTGAGAATTTAAGTGTAAAAGGGGAAAAAGTTATTTTCAGTGAAATAGAAGATGAAGCACATCTTTTTATGGAGGTTCTTTCTTAATATAATAAAGTGCTTTGGAACAAATTATTCAAAATAATTTATAACATTCCCATTAGAAGGTATATATAAGCCATAGCAAAAACTTCTAAAATTTTAATATCTTCTGAATATTTTTATTTCTTAGCTATTAAAAGGTTTTAATAATATCATCCCAAAACAGAGTTACTGCCTAGAAACTCTCTGAAGATTTTTTTTTCTGTAGGAACTCACAGTGCAAATTATCCCACTTTAAGGCACCATCCAACATATCCTTTACAACATTTTTTTAGGAATAAAGCAAAATTAATGACAAATTTTACCTAAATATATTCTACTAGAAATATGCAAATAAAGTCAGAAGCTTAACATATTAAAAGTATGTAGAAATGTCTTCAGCATACACATTACATATGTACGCATATATACATAATTTATCATATATATTAAGTATGATGGACACATACACTTTTCTTCCAAAATATTCTACCACTCCAAGGTCAGTAAGATGGCAGAACTAAATTATTCCTCACAAAACCCAAAGTTAACAATTTGGAATTTGATAATTAAAAAAAAAGTACTACCTATTGTTTTCTTATTAATAATTTCCATAGAACTAATAATTAATAAGGTCAGTTATGTGTAGCTCACAAAAATGCGAGCTCAAAAGAAGTTTGACTTCATTATATAGACTACAGGTTTCATATAATTCAGTTGTCAATTAGATAAAGTCTGTATATTTGTGTGTATGTGTGTGCATGTGTGTGTTATTTTTTAAAACATTAGGATTACAAAGACACAGCTTCAAAAAAGGGTTGGAAAATAGAAAATAATATCTTGATATCTTGGCAGTTGAAAGTTGTAGAGAATTTTCATAAAACAAATGTAGTTTTGAATTATGTATTTCTATTAAAAGTAGGAGATATATATATATATATTTTAAATTTCAGGTGAAGACTCGGTCAGAACACAAAATGAAAAAAAGCTACTTTTTTTTTTGCCTCATTAGAATTGTACTGGAAAGACTTAAACTTGACAATGACTGTCTTTGTAATTAAGTTAAATCAGAAAGTATATTACCTGGTCAAGATATTATAACATATATGAGAAATATGGAAACTCTATATGAAGAAACTCATTTTTTACTGGGCACTTTCCCAACCATACTGCTGTGAAATTTTCCTGAGCCTCTTCTCAATGGCTCCAAGGGAATTGAGCACATAGAAAAATAATAAGAGAAGCCAAAATGAGATCAAATCCAAGCCATTATTACTGAACCTTTTTCTTTCTTTCTTTTTTTTTTTTTTTTTTGAGATGGAGTCTCGCTGTGTTGCCCAGGCTGGAGTGTAGTGGCATGATCTCGGCTCACTCCTACCTCTGCCTCCTGGGATGAACCATTTTCTACCTTGATCCATGAAGATCTCTTCGTGTCACAATATCTACCTCTTTCATTATGTGTTGTGTGTGTGTGTGTGTGTGTGTGTGTATAACTTTTCTAGAATCTACTTAAAATTGCCTTGTGATCCCTTTTAGATATGATGAGTCCTATTTTCTTATTAGTCCAATATATTTCTACTATGACCTCATATTTTTTAGTTATTCCTTCATATGCAATCATTGCAATTTAAAGCACTGTAAGTTAAACTCTTTTCTCCTAGAGTTATGTTGTAAGTGGGAGGATTCGCTCTTAGAAACCTACTTTACACACACACACACACACAAAATACCAAAAAGGGTTACCAACAATAATAGATAAAATAGATTAGAAATGTAAGGTCTATAAACATTTTCTCAAGTATGTAAAACCAACCCCATATGTACAGTGGTCTCACTAGGACTGTCTCACCCAGGTGTTCCAGGAGCATTTCCGTGAACAGTAATCGTCACCAACTTTGTTGCAGGATAGCCCAGGCTTTTCAGACACACTAGCAGGCAGGAAAAAGGAATCAAAAGGCAAGACTTGGGCTACACACTCCTCTTTAACCTATTGACAATGTGCTCAGGTTTTCATGGTTCCAGACCAGGGCTGGTAGAATCTATGTGTATGTAAAATTCAGACCTAGAATGCTTTCTTTTTCTTTTTTTTTTCCTTATCAATCTCCATAGAGTAAGTAATAACATTTTTTATTGCTCCAGTGTGTATTCAAATTTAGAGATGTCCCTCTTAGATTTTCTATTGTTGATTTCATGGGCATAAAAACCTCAGAAAATCTCTGAATGCAATATTGCAGAATTTAGTTTCTCTAGAGTCTTTTGTATCAGGGTAAGAGTGAATGTGTCAGAAGTCACTGAGAGGTTGGCTGTGAATATTACTTGGGAGAGAGAGGTAGTTATATACAGCCTTCAAAATGCAGATTAACAAGTCAAATTGCCTCAAATCTGTGCATATAGTATTAAAACATACTCCCTGGTTCACTGGGCCCTATTTCAGAACTCCTCAGATAAAACTTAATGTCAAGACTTTAAAACCACGTAAAATGTCAGTTTTCACCCGAATGTATGGAGTCCAAGGAAAGCTCCGCTCAATACATGTGGGTTAGAAGTCTATGTTTCTCACTGTGGTCTCTCTAAGACTATCTCAGTTCAAGAACAGAAATCATTACCAACTGTGTTGCAGGATAGCTTGATATTTTCAGACACACTAGTAGGTAGGCAATGGAAAAGAATCAAAACGCAAGATTAGGGCTGCATACCTGTCTTTAGTCTTTTGGCATTGCCTTTAGGCTTTGATATGCACAGATCAGAGCTGGTGGAATCTAGTTGAATCTTCTCTCTTACAGAAGAGCACATTCAGATTCCCATGGGGAAGGGGCTTTCCATTTGATACCAAACATTTAATTTTAGTCCAGTACAAAACTACACCTAATCCCTTCTTGGTAAATATGTGTTCAAGTCAGGGAGAAACCTATACTCAGTAGTAAACTCAGTTCTACTCAAATTTATCTCCTATTTAGAAGATAAGTAGAAGTACAGTTTTTGAGGGTTGCAATGACTTTGTCACTTATGCATTTTAATTTTTCCATAATATTTTGTTAGAGAAGTTTTCAATTTGTTCATCCTACAAGAAACAAGCAGCTATGTTGTTTAAATAGAAACTTACATAGAATGTGTTTATTTAAAGCTAAATATTTAATAACCCAAATGAGGAGGACAGGCACTAAAAACATACTTGTGGGATATATTTTCTATTTCCTTCAATTTTACAATGGAAACTCTTACTTTCAATAAAGTACCAAAATACTATGTAGCAGTTCTTGTATTAAAACCCTCTTAACCAGGCTTTCAGAGAAATAATGGATCAGGATGCTGGTTCTTATGAGTAAAACACATTTCATGGTAAATTCAGAAAGAAAGCATTGAGTGGAACAGATGTATTCTCTTTAAGGACCATTTGTTCCACCAATCCTATTAAAAATAATAATGCAGCTTCTCTCTCTTTATAATATTTTGATCCTCCTTTTGCTATACATAATGCCATAAGTTAATACTTTACATGAAAATCTATTTCCAGGGAAATCCTGCTGGGCTGCTGTACTACAGTAAACTCTAATCTCTGGAAGAGAGGGCAGTAACCATAAGGGATAACATTGTCTACATTTTAAATAGCGGTTGCTGTTTTCTTTTGTATTTAGTACAAAAAATGAAGGAATAAAGGAAGAGGGCGCTTTCAAAAGACTTATTGGGAAGTAAAGAAAATACTAAAAAGAAGGATAATTCCCCTAAATAGAAAATCAAACCACCCAAGCCCAGGTTGGTGAAAACTGATGTTATTTTATTCAGCCGAATAAATAAACTCTAAACACGAATATGGCACATAATGAAGATGAAATTATAGTCTTAAAAACATTTCAATTTAATGCAGGCAGTTTATAAAATAAGGGCATATATATTCATGCAATGCAATTATTTGTCAACATTTTTACAAATAATTTTATAGCTTCCTCCCACACACACATTCACAGGGCATAGATGAATGAGGAACCACTTCAAAGGAGGAAAGGCTGTTACAAACAGAGGTAACTGTGGTTTTTTTCTTTCCCACTATCTTTCCCACCCCAAGTCTTCTAAAAAGAATGAACAAACAAAACCCTTTCTAGAAAACCAGAGCCCAAGAGGAAATCTCAGTCTGCATGTCTCCTTCTTTGTCTCAATCATTCATTCAGTAAATACTTATTGATCGTACACTATGCACCAGGCAGGCTGCTAGGGGCTGGAGACACAAAAATGAGCATAACACAGTTCCTCCCTTCAAGGAAATTATCAGCCAGGGGAAAGAGAAATCTACAGGCTATTATAATACAGAACACCAAATTCTTCCCTCTGAATACTGTATTCTCTGACAGCAAATCAAAATGCTAAGAATGCCTGGAATTTGAAAAGGCACAAAAGGTTTGGGTGTGGAAAGCAAGATAGGGTTGGCATAAAGGTGGATTTCGTATATCATTTGAGATCAGGAGATGGATCAAGATATCCTACAACTACCTGTCTCAGTGCCTTATCTCCACTCCTGCATTTCTCACACCTATCCCCCCATTCAACCTCATTTGTTTGTGTTTTGTAGATAGTTCTTCAAAAATAAGCAGATAAAATCATTGGGAAAATTTTTACTACAGCATGCCTTCAAGATAGTATTTCCAAGAGCCTCCTTATCACCTTAAACCAGTATCACAGGCTATTAGGTAGAAGTTTCATCTGAGACATTGGGATAAATAGACATCAGGCCAGAGACAAAATGCCATACCAACAAATATATTTTCAAAGGAAATTGCCAAGTAAAATATAAGTTTAGAAGTAGGTTTTACTTATATTCACATTGAAGATCTAAAAGAATCAGGAGCGAATGCTGTGGGAGAATTCTTAAGAAAGATTTCTATAGTAAAAGAAAAACTTTCTACATCCAGAGGGG